ATGTATGGATTTATGTATGTATGTATGTATGTATGTATGTATGTATGTATGTATGTATGTATGTATGTATGTATGTATGTATGTAATCACAAGAGCTTAAATAAATCCAGTTAGGTTTTTAATTAACTTTTGTCGTGTTGTGGATCATTAACTCTGTGGGTGGTTAACATGACTCCTGGGTGGGGGCTAAGGTTCCTGTTGGGTGTAGCTGGGTGTAGGTGTGGGTGTGATGAGGTGTTGGGGGTGTGTTGAGGGTGTAGGTGGGTGTTGGGGGTGTGTTGAGGGTGTTGGGGGTGTGTTGAGGTGTTGGGGGTGTGTTGAGGTGTAGGTGGGGTGTAGATGGGTGTTGGGGGTGTGTTGAGGGTGTAGGTGGGTGTAGCTGGGTGTCCTCCTGCCCCAGAGAACTGCCAGTCATCCTCCTCAAAATTGTCTTAACAGTATCAGGGGAAGATTGCTTCTCGGGGGGTGGGCGATAATGACCTTTAATGGTGGTAATGAGAACAAGGACAGGTAATGAGGTACTAGGACAGGTAAGTAAGAGTGATGAAAGGGGTGGACCTAACACGCACATTTATACACACGCACATAACACACACGTACATTATTATACCTACACACGTCTATTCTCTTGTATACACCACAGATTTGTATACAGGTATGTACACCTAAATACACGTACATATACCCCCTCCACACACACACACACACACACACACACACACCACACACACACACACACACACACACACACAACATCCTTGACCACTGTAGGGTCAAGACCTATTCACGCTGCTCCGGCTGTTCCCCTTGACCAGTGTTCGGCCCATTCCCCAGTCCCTCTCCCCGACCCGTCCTCACCACCGGGATATCAACATAATCAAAAGTGACAATTTCGTTTGGGAAAGAATTGGGATCAGTGTTGAACAGTGATGAACAGGGTTTAAGCCAGTGAGTTCAGCACCAGACAGTACCAGTGAGAGCCGTGACCCACCAGTGAGAGCCGTGACCCACCAGTGAGAGCCGTGACCCACCAGTGAGCCGTGACCCACCAGTGAGCCGTGACCCACCAGTGAGCCGTGACCCACCAGTGAGATAAGCACCCCTGGGAACTAACCACCATCTTCTGACCAGGAGGAGCTAATCAGTCCACCCTGGGAACAACAGAGGGCTGGCCGGCTTCACACTTGACTACGGTATAATACAACACCACCCAGCAGGGCGGGGTACTGACCACCCCACACATAAGAACATAAGAATGGAGGAAACTGTAGCGGGCCTATTGACCCATACTGGCCAGTCCCGTTTACACCCAACCCCTATTGCTCATATAAGCACCCAACCTATGTTTGAAGCTATCCAGCGTATTCGAGTTAATGATGATATTTGGCAACTTGTTCCACTCATCCACTACTCTGTTTCTAAACCAGTGTTTACCTATTTCACGACGAAATCTAAATTTGTCTAATTTAAAACCATGACCAGACAGGGCCATCAACTGTTAACTATAATAATTTGTATATTCAATCATTGTTCCTCCTTTTAGTAATGAAGGCTTTTGTTAAACACCACCACCCCATGTTAAATACCCACCCACCCCATGTTAAACGACCCACCCACCCCATGTTAAACGACCCACCCACCCCATGTCTTTGTATGTAATAAGTCATTTTTGTCCAATGTATATTTTCAGCCTTCGGGCTGCAGAACTTTCAATCTACCGTTAATTATTATTACTATTATTATATTATTATTATTATTATTATTATTATTATTACACGCACAGACAGACAGACAGGTGGATATGAAAGGTACTGTCCACATGGATAACTCAGTACTTGTATATCGTACACACACACACACACACACACACACACACACACACACACACACACTCCTCACTGTGTCAACAAAAGTCAGCTGATTGATCAAAACAAACAATGACGTCACTCGTAAGTCTCCCCCCTGCTTGCTCTCGATGTGGATTATTCTGGGTTTTTAATCTCCTTTTTCTCTCTCTTTTATCTCTCTCTTTAATCCTCTCTCTCTCTCTCTCTCTCTCTCTCTCTCTCTCTCTCTCTCTCTCTCCCTCCTAACCCTCACACACCTTCAAAAAAACTCCACCCGTAGAGACCTATTCAATCTCTCCCTCTCCTCCCTCTCCTCCCTCTCCCTCACGTTCCCTCTCGTTCCCTCTCACTTCCAGAATATCCCTTAGGAAGGCATTCACCTCACCCCTCTCACCCCACTTAGGTAGCAAGTGGCCTCCTCCCCAACTCCCCCACTCACTCCTCCCACTCCTCCCACTCACCCATTGAAGGGTAGCAAGTGGCCTCTCACCCCCTCCAACTCCCCTCCCTCCCCTCACTCCCCATTGAGGTAGCAAGTGGCCTCTCACCCTCTCCAACTCCCCCATCCCCCCACTCCCCCATTGAGGTAGCAAGTGGCCTCTCACCCCTCTCCAACTCCCCACTCACCCCCACTCCTCCTCCCCTATTGAAGTAGCAAGTGGCCTCTCACCCCTCTCCAACTCCCCTCATCCCCCTCCCTCCCTCCCCTATTGAGGTAGCAAGTGGCCACTCCTCCTACTCCCCCATTGAGGTAGCAAGGGGCAGGCTTAATGAGGTCACCTGTTGATAGCTATACACCTGGTAATCGCGTCTTCTCAGGTGAGGAGTAAACCAATATATTGGAGGATATTTTTGGTGTCTTTGGTTTATGTGAAGGAAGGAAGGGAAGGAAGGAAGGAAGGAAGGAAGGAAGGGAGGAAGGAAGGAAGGGGAAGGGGAAGGAAGAGGAAGGAAGGGAGGAAGGAGGAAGGAAAGGAGGAAGGAAGGGAAGGAAGGAAGAAGGAAGGGATGAAGGGAAGGAAGGAATAATTGGTGTGTTTGGATTAAGTTAGGTTAGGTTGAGTATTAAGTCAGGTTAGATTTGGTTAAGGTTAGGTTAGGTTAGTATTAAGTCAGGTTAGATTTGGTTAAAAGCTAGGTTAGGTTAGTATTAGGTCAAGAATAGATTTGGTTAAGTTAGGTTAGGTTAGTATTAAGTCAGATTAGATTTGGTTAAGTTAGGTTAGGTTAGTGTTAAGTCAGATTAGATTTGGTTAAGTTAGGTTAGGTTAGTATTAAGTCAGGTTAGATTTGGTTAAGTTAGGTTAGGTTAGTGTTAAGTCAGATTAGATTTGGTTAGGTTAGGTTAATATCAGAGCATTGAATCAACAGGTGAAGTTAGCTAGAGAGACTCAGAGGCCGCTAAGAGATGGCGCTGTTATCAACCTCCCGTGACGTAGGTAAACAAATAGTGACGTCATCGAGGCTAGCTGAGGAAAACAGACCCGGACGTTGGGGAGACTGTGACATACATACATACATACATACATACAGTCATACATACATACATACATACATACAGTCATACATACAGTCATACATACATACATACATACATACAGGTAATGTTGCTACAAAGGTGAACTAAATTAACCGGAAGAGCAACACTAATGCCAAGGGATTTTATAACACCCACAAGATATAGATTAAAATGTGTCTATCTGTCTGTCTGTTTGTCTGTCTATCTATCTATCTATCTGTCTATCTATCTATCTATCTATCTATCTATCTATCTGTCTATGTGACTCGGGTTGATAATTGAAAGTCATTGGTAGACGATGATTTGGTAGTCGGTGGTAATTGACAGATGGGTTGATGGGTAGATTGTTGCTGATGTGGTTACTGAGAGGGGGGGGAGAGGGGTGGGGAGAGGGGGAGAGAGGGGGAGAGGAGGGGAGAGGGGGTGGGGGGAGAGGTGGGGAGAGAGGGGGGTGGGGGAGGGGTGGGGAGAGGAGAGAGGGGGGGGAGATGAGAGAGAGAGAGAGAGAGAGAGAGAGAGAGAGAGAGAGAGAGAGAGGACAATAAAGGTATTGAACAATATTGAGTCATGTTGAACGTTCATTTCACTGTTTCTGTCGACGGCCTCTCTCTCTTGTTCTTCACGACAATCCTTTCTTTCTTGTCGAACTAAATATTTCATTCTCTTCTCTCACCTTCCTCACACCCCCCCACACCCCTCCACACCTCCCCCACACCCTCCACACCCCCCCACACCCCCCTCCACACCTCCCCCCACACCCCTCCACACCCCCCACACCCCTCCATACCCCCACACCCCCACACCCCCACACCTCCCCACACCTCCCCCACACCCTCCCCCACAACCCTCCACACCCCCCACACCCCTCCACACCCCTCCACACCTCCCCACACCCCCACCCCCCACACCCCCCCACAACCCTCCACACCCCTCCACACCTCCCCCACACCTCCCACACCCCCACACCTCCCCACACCCTCCCCAACCCCACACCTCCTCCCCACACCCCCCCCACACCCCCCACACACCTCCCCACACCTCCCCCCCACACCCCTCACACCTCCCCACACCCCCCACACCCCCCCCACACCCTCCCCCACACCCCCCACACCCTCCACACCTCACACCCCTCCCACACTCCCCCACACCCCCCCACACCCCCACACCTCCCCCCACACCCCACACCTTCCCCACACCTCCCCACACCCCCACACCTCCCCACACCTCCCCCACACCCTCCACACCTCCCCACACCTCCCCACACACCTCCCCCACACCCTCACACCTCTCCCCACACCTCCCCCACACCTCCACACCTCCCCACACCCCCCACACCTCCCACACCCTCCACACCTCCCCACACCTCCCCCACCTCCCCACACCTCCCCCCCACACCCCCCCCCCACACCTCCCCACACCTCCCCCCCACACCCCCTCCACACCTCCCCCACACCTCCCCCCACACACCTCCATACCCCTCCACACCCTCCACACCCACCCTCCCCACACCTCCCCACACCTCCCCCACACCTCCCCACACCCCCACACCCCCACACCCCCACACCCTCCACACCTCCCCACACCTCCCCCCACACCTCCACACACCCCCCACACACCTTCGTTTAGCTTCTCACCTGGGCAGCGTGTGTAGTGCAGCTAAAATAGAGAATGAAGTCAAGGCAGCTATGACGACCACAGCTAAGAAGGCAGACTGTCTCAACCTGGCCTGGTACCTCTCTCAGACACGTCTCAACTCCATGGCTGAAAACAACACAGTCGATTGTTAACTGGTGGATTAGTGGAGAGAGAGAGGAGAGAGAGAGAGAGGTGTGGCTGGATTACTCCTGAAGTAATATTAGAAAGAGACAGATACATAGATAGACAGACAGATAGACAGACAGACAGACAGACAGACAGACAAACACTGGCCACACAGACAAAGAGACGCGCCGCTTACCTGCTATTCCTGTACCTGTGTTTAATTAATTATCTTACCTGGCCACAGCAACACCTTTACCTTCCTTATTTACGGTAGAAGATTGAGTGGGTTAGGTGGGTTAGTGGGGTGTAGGGGTGGGTAGGGTGGGTAGGGTGGGTTAGTGGGGTGGGGTGGGTGGGGTTAGTGGGGTAGTGGGTTAGTGGGTGGTGGGTGGGTTAGTAGGTAGGGTGGGTTAGAGGGTGGGTGGGTATAGGGGGTGGGGTGGGGTTAGAGGGTGGTGGGGTCTGGGTGGTTTGTATTGTTGTCTTTCTGTCTATCTGTCTGTCTGTCTGTCTGTCTGTCTCACACACACACACACACACACACACACAGCTTTACGCCAGGCAGACGACCGCCAGACGAAAGAATAAATTAACTCAGAATGAAGGTAATAACCCAATTAGGCCACTGAACCGGTCATTAGGATGGTAATTAGATTAATGACGATACGAGCTGAAGTGTCGGTATATAATGACTCTTGTTGGCTGATGCATTAGTGGTCAAAATCGTTGTTTTGTTATTATTATTATTATTGATAGTAGTAGTAGTAGTAGTAGTAGTAGTAGTAGTAGTAGTAGTAGCATCATCATCACCTTTCCTAAATAAATAAATAAATAAATAAACATTATCTGACCTTTACCAACCAACATATAAAATATATTCCACATGTGTCCATTACACACCTGTCAGTCATCAACCCCAGAATACCACATGTGTTTTCAGGTCTTGACACATATGTACCTGGCTTTAATAGTTAACTGATTACATATATGTTTAAGGTTTTCATGTGTGTGTGTGTGTGTGTGTGTGTGTGTAAGTAATTCTCACACCATGGAGGGGTCACTTCACAAAATCACTACAGTCACTACTGATCAAAGTTCTGACTGACAAAGATCAATATTCCTAACCTAACCTAACCTAACCTAACCTAACCCAAACTTAACCTAACCTAAATACACTAGTTCACCTCTAACTGGTGTTACGTGACCGTATCTAGTTAAGGTAGAGTCTCGGTGTAATTTTTCAGCCATTTTTAAGGCTATCTAGGTAAGAAACTTTATATAGTCGGTTATTACCCGTGTGAATCATTCTTTAGCCGGATATCACCCCTAAGAGTAACTATTTAGCCGGATATTACCCCTAAGAATCATTATTTAGCCGGATATATCACACTTACCAATAATCTTAATGATGGCTTGTGTATTGACCGGCTGCATGGTGGTGGTGAGGCCGGATAGATGTACTAAATGTAGACAACCGGATAGATTCGTAGCTGGTGTTAGACGTCCGGTTAGACGGTGATAGAAGCCGGATAGATGTAACAGAAGGTGTAGACAGAGGGATAGATGATTTTAGACAGCCGGATAGATTATATCAGAGCCGGATAGATATCAGTCAGCCGGTTAGATGCTGTAGTAGATGTAGACAGCCGGATAGAGGGATAGAGGGCTAGGTAGATCATCAATTATTCAACCAGTAGCCAGTGTGTGTGTGTGTGTGTGTGTGTGTGTGTGTGTGTGTGTGTGTGTGTGTGTGTGTGTGTGTGTGTGTCGGGTCTGGTCTTATTCACCTGCTACACACACGCCACCCCCAAAGTTTATAATCATCACTACACGTCAAAGTTTATAATCATCACTACACGTCAAAGTTTAAATCATCACTACACGTCAAAGTTTATATATTTATCGTATTTTTTTATTAATTATCTTCATATAAAAGTTTCATAATTATATCTATATGTGAAATAAGTGACCTTAATACTCCTAATGTAATCTTAATAAACTCCTAAGTACACCAAATTACCACAATCCTAAACTTTATTAAACTACAAATTATAAGAATTTTCTCAAGATTTTACATAACACAGATTAATATCCCAAGTAAATTAGGAGTAAACACTTAATCTGGCTGTAATTAATCAGGTAAATCCGATTTTCTGGAGACAAATTAAGGGTTTGAGATTTCTGTAACGCATCACAGCTCATATATATAAATATTCCTTTATTACGCCTTAGTTAAACCCAAAATACCTTAATTAAACCAAAAATACTTAAAATATACCTAAAATTTATTAATTAACCAAAATACTTAAAATATACCTAAAATACCTTAATTAAAACCAAAATACTTAAATATACCTAAAATACCTTAATTAAAACCAAAATACTTAAAATATACCTAAAAAATTATTAATTAAACCAAAAATACTTAAAATATACCAAAATTTATTAATTAAACCAAAAATACTTAAAATATACCTAAAATACCTTAATTAAACCAAAAATACTTAAAATATACCTAAAATTTATTAATTAAACCCAAAAATACTTAAAATATACCTAAAATTTATTAATTAAACCCAAGATACCTAAAATATACCTAAATTAAACGCCAAATGCTTAAAAATCCTCCCTTTAAAACAGTATCAACAATGGCTTTTTAAAATATGTTGTAAAATCTGTCTGGATGGACACAAAATCGGGAATTAAGTTCAGGAAAGTCGATTTTACGATTGGTTTAATTTTACCAACGCTGCTGCTGTTATTTCCTTCTTGTTCTTTGCAATCACACATAACTCATAATAGATAAACACTGTTATTTCCTCACTGTAACACCTAAAAAAACGTGTTATTTATCGTGATTTCAGTTGTAATAACCAAAAACGCTTCCAAACATCACAATAAAATCACATCAGCTCGTAAAAATTCACTCTAAACTAAATCCTTCACTTTAAATAACCAAATCACCGTTAATATCAATCACCAATACATCGATACACATTACGGTAGGTTATTTTTCACTGTAAGAACTTAAGAACCGGGTTATTTTGGTGGTTAACAATGATAGTATTAACACACGTTTGGCTGCTATACTTTACAACAGAAAATTCGTCTTGACATTTTAACCTGAGTTGAGTTACCACACACCTCAACCTAACCAAAACCTGGAGCTATTATCAAACCTCATCGAATACTTATCTTACAGTGAAATATATTCTTTTTCACTGTAATATCACCCCCAAAAAAACTTAATTCTCACTGCTAATATCCCCAAAAACAGTGATAAATATTAAGAATCGGTATTAATTCTTTGCTGACATTTTGGAAAGCTATCACTGCCATACGACACAATTAGCTTTAATCCCATCACTGTTCTCTAACTTCATTTGTGGATTCTTACAGTGAATTTTATTATTTTTCACTGTAATATCCTAAAAAAAACTGATTAAATTTATTATATTAGCAACAGTGATTTAAATAATAGTTTTAGGAAATAGGAATTCTCTCTCTCTCTCTCTCTCTCTCTCTCTCTCTCTCTCTCTCTCTCTCTTTTGACATTTACACACACGTCACTGCTACATTCCTCACTGGCTTAATTATATCACTGTTAAATCACTGTTAGATACTGTTAAATCGCTGTTAGATACTGTTACTCACTGTTAGATACTGTTAAATCACTGTTAGATACTGTTACTCACTGTTAGATACTGTTAGATACTGTTAAATCACTGTTAGATACTGTTACTCACTGTTAGATACTGTTACTCACTGTTAGATACTGTTACTCACTGTTAGATACTGTTACTCACTGTTAGATACTGTTAGATACTGTTAAATCACTGTTAGATACTGTTACTCACTGTTAGATACTGTTAAATCACTGTTAGATACTGTTACTCACTGTTAGATGCTGTTAAAATCTGCTGTTGAATGCTGTTGCTCCTGTTAGATGCTGTTAAATCATATTGAATACTGTTTACTCACTGTATTGGGTCACTGTTAAATCACTTTCTTAAATCTGTTGTTACTCACTGTTAGATACTGTCAAATCACTGTGAATACTGTTGATCTTGTTGAATGCTGTTCAAATCACTGTTGAATACTGGCCCAGATACTGTTACTCTCCTGTACAGATACTGTCGATCACTGTTAGAGACTATTACATTCCTGTTAGGAGGACTCATTTCACTGTCAATCTCTAATGCGTCACTGTAATTCATATATAAGATAATTGAAATGCACACACACACACACACACAGACACACACTCTCTCTCTCTCTCTCTCTCTCTCTCTCTCTCTCTCTCTCTCTCTCTCTCTCTCTCTCTCGACCAATAAGACATCACTTTCTCTTGGCCAATCAGAACTCTGCTGCATATCTTTCCTCTGCCAATCAGAAACTCCACCTATCAGATTTCACGACATATTCTATTAACCAATCACAACTTCGACCAATCGGGACCAAAATCAATTATAACCTTGACCAATCAGAATCAAGACCCATCAGAACTTAGACCAATCAGATCGCAGCATACATTAGAGTGACCAATCAGACGTGATGGTCTGCATAAGAAGATTTGGGCGTGAAAGCGGTGGCCAGGACGGGGAATCCCCTGAGCTTATACAGGTGTGAGAGAGAGAGAGAGAGAGAGAGAGAGAGAGAGAGAGAGAGAGAGAGAGAGAGAGAGAGGGGGAGGCACACACCAGACAGGAATGTGGCCGGTGATATTACAAGCTTAATACGGGCAATATACTGTGTAGAGAGTGAGGGAGAGGTGAGGGAGAGTGAGTGAGGGAGAGTGAGGGAGGGAGAGGTGAGGGAGGGACAGGTGAGGGAGGGACAGGTGAGGGAGGGAGGGAGTAAGGGGGAGGAAAGACAGAGAGCGAGGGAAGAATTGAGAGAGAAGTAGATTGAAGGAGGGAGTGGTGTAGGGTAGTGGCACTGGCCAAGGTAGTGGTGTAGGGTGGGGTAGTGGCACAGGGGTAGTGGCACTGGTAGTAGTG